GTGGCAGGCAAACAGTGGATTAGATTGGCGTAAGATAAAGAAAGATGGAAGCAATTGGGAGAGACCTACATTCAGGAGTAAATGGAAAATGGTTGACAAATAAGAAGAGAAGTTATTATTATATCTTATGGCAGATTGTTTAGGGATGGGGGGCGAGAAACTTACATTTCAACAAAACGGGCACAAAAAGTTTAAGGACCCCTGCTCAATTTGATTTTGAGTCAAATTGTCAGCTATCTTGACAATTATCGGCTAGCAAATAATTATTAGTAGAAACATTTAAATATACCAGCAAGTCGAGTATAGACAAATAGATAAGGTTAAAAAATATAAAAATATGCTGTGTAAAAACGAATATATATATGGAAACCATTTGTATAAAGATACGAAACTCATTATTGGTATTCAGAAAGGTGTGCGCAATTAAAATTTACCGGCTTTTTTATAAGTGGCAATTTCATATTGTGTCGCTTTAGTAATTAGTGTAGTAAAGTAGGAAGCTATTATAGTATTTCGCGTTTTATGTACGTCATAATTAATACTATAATAAAGACAAATAATTCTGCTTAGCGTGTAGCTTTTATGCGATGACAAAAATTGACAGTTCTGTGTCTTCTGAATACAATATCTTCTTGAATACTGTACATCTTAGCAGCTGTATAATGATAAAATATTAATATCCTTCTATGATTTATGTTGGTTTTCCATCTTCATCAACTGAAGATTGCTCGTGCTGCACGTACGAAATTTTTGTCTACGAGTTTTTCCACTTTGTTGGTCCATCTGAATTATCATGCGTTCCCTATTGTTACCACGTTTAATATTGTCCCTAATATATGTACTCCATGAAAGACTGGTAGAAAATGCAATCGAAAACAGGAAAAACTATAAGAAAACAAGAAAATCATTAATCATTGGGAAGAAGCAAATCGTTGCTCTAACAAACAAAAACACCAGAATTACAGACAGAAATGAAACAATACAACTTGTAGCTAAATTCTACAGCGAACTATACAAAGCCCCTGATACACTTGAAGAAGTAATCTATAGCCAAGAAGATGTACCAGAAGTTCTCCCAGAAGAAGTAGAATCGACAATTGCAAAAATGAAAAGCGGTAATGCAGCTATAGCTGGAGTGGATGGTATAACAATGGAACTACTTAAATACGCTAACAATAAAGCCTGGAAAATCTTAGCAGGCATATTACGAACTGCCTAAGATCGAGATGCATATCAGACCACTGGAATACAGCAAATATAATTCTCATTCATAAGAACGATAGCAAAGGGTATCTTTCTATCTATATCGAAAGTAGCAGACCTATAAGTCTGCTACCAATCGTATACAAAATATTCACAAAGATCATAAACAACAGATTAACAAACGCATTAGAGGCTACACAGTCGACAGAGCAAGCTGGCTTCAGAAGTGGATTTAGTACCATAGATCATATTCATACACTTCGAGGACTAATAAGTAGAGCTAAAGAATATGAAATACCGCTAGCATTAACCTTCATAGATTTCGAGAAGGCTTTCGACTTTATATATACCAAGGCAGTAATACACACAACGCAAATGTCAAAGGATATTTTAATAATTTAACAATACCAATGACAGAAATTTTATGACCATATAAATTTGATTGTACTATAATTTGATCGGATAATTAACTGTTGTCGGATAATCAGCAACTGGCGAAGTAAGTCTATAAACGTTAATCACATAAAAACTTTTACCAACCATAAACTTCGAGTTTTTATAGGAAGTTGATTAATTTCTTTATTTAAAAAAGCATTTCTTGGCTTATTTCAGATGCCTCTGAAGATGATCTAGTGATCGAAAATACTTGGGCAAGATTAAATTAATACTGTGCTCGATATTTGCCATGTATATTATTAAATGTACTATAATTGTTGATACCGACACTCACCTCTTATCAAAAAAAAAACAAAAAATGTAAAACTGATAGCAATACGTGTTTTAGAATGTTTTTTATAAGGGACAAAAAAATAGAAATTTTAATGTTTTGTTTATTTTTAATTTTAGTCACTTTATACCATTATTGCTAAATAGGTAAGTTAAAGATATTGTCTTTTTACCATGCGACGGCAACATTTAACGTTGTATGAAATGAATAGAGCCGTGGGACTCCTTCAAGCTGGCATGCGACAAACTCAAGTTGCTGACCAGCTGGGTCCAAAGCGTCGTAAGTCGTTTGTGGCATCAGTTTAGAGACACTGGGAGTCCAGCCGAGCAACATTCAGGACGTGGTCGCTCTACAACCATTGCTTAAGACCGATATTTAATTTTAAATGCCAACAATCACTGCACCCAAGTTGGTTAATGAATTACAGCTTGCACATAATATAACAATTAGCGCAGTACTGTGAGGAATCGTTTCCATGAAGCTAATCTAGGTAGTCGACGACCATTAAGATGCCCACCTCTATCTAAAGGCATTCGCGCTGCAAGATTAACCTGGTGTCAAGAGTTTCAGAATTGGACTGACAATGACTGAGCCATAGTTTTGTTTAGTGACGAGTCTAGATATGGATTTCCTTCAGATTCTCGTCTGACGAAACACAGAGGTGGTACATTATTGGTATCGGTCGGAATCATGATTGAGGAAAGAACTGACCTCATTTTCCCACGTGGCTTTCTCCCAAGTCAGCAATATTTGGACTTTATTCTTGAACCTGTGTGCGCCTGTTTTTCTGCTGCTGTTGGAGAAAATTTTTACTTTAGACATGATAACGCTCGACCACATGTTGCGCATGTTGTAACAAACTGGTTGAATAACGAAGGTATTGATGTAGTGCCGTGGCCAGGACAAGTACTGGACTTGAATCCCATTGAGCATGTATGGGACATGCTCCAACGAAGAATTACTCCACATATAGGCAATATCTATACTGAGTTTCAATTAAAAAACTTCTGAGAAAACAATGGATACAAGTACATCAAGCAGACATTAACAATTTGATTCGGAGCATTAACAGTAGATGTAGAGCTGTGATAAACCAACGTGGTTGCCATACATTATTTATATTTATATTTCGTATTTTTGACATTTTATGGTGGTATGTGAAACATGGGCGATTTGCAATATATTTTTTTTTGCTCCAATTTTCGTTTTTTCTTTCAATTTATGGTTTTTGACATATTAAACTACAAATTTTGTATTACTTTTTTAAGTTGATAGAGAGTTGATAGAGATAAACAAAATACGTCTATTTTTAAAAATATCCCTAGACTCTTGCGTTGTGTGTAGAAGGTTTAACCAACCAAGGCTTTACACTGCAGTGATTGTGATTGCAAAAACCGTTCGCATGTTTTAAATAAGATTTTTGCTAATTATGTATTTTGCTAAATTATTAAATAACACAAATACAACCTACAACCATTAATTAATTTTTAACGATAAACAGAAGTGTAATATGATGACAAGTTTGAATTTGATCTACTTTGTCGATAACAGTGTTGTTAACAGAAATATATTGTTAAATAGAATGACTGCATGGCTGCGAAATATTCGAGACTGGACAAACATGACTGTAGACGAATTATTCCACGTTGCAAAAGACAGAGAAGCTTTTAAAAATGTGGTCGCCAACCTCCGTTAATGGGGACGGCATAGGAAGAAGAAGAAGAAATAACATGAATCATTTTTCAATGATTCTGTGGATTTAAGAAATACATTACTAAACAAATGTTTAGTGTATAAAGTGGATTACAATTATTATAACATGGTACTCCTTATTTTTCGAATAATATGTTCTTGTAAAGGCAGAAACTTTGATTATTGGGTAAACCTACAGTATATGATACGTCAGAAGAAATTTAAAAAGAATTAACATTGCAATAAAATTATAAACCAGTAAACGATAACTTGTTGAGCAGTGCTGATTAAAACAACAGAGCAGTAAAATGTTATTTATAAAGGAAATGTAAATAAAATATATCTCCGCTGGTATATCTGGTCCGCTAGTAATAAAGTTACCAGCTTAATTGCAAAACGGTCTTCTAACAGTGGCTTCCCACTGTCGGCGATTCTACAGATCACCGCGGACAACCGATCAGCACGGACGAGAACGCACCGCAGACTGAGCTCTTCCCACGGTCCGTGACAGTCTGTGTAGGTCCGTGACAGTATTGTTTGATTATATCATAAAAAGGCCACTCAGGCTTGTAAACATTAAATTCGGCATTAAATTATTTCTCTTCTTTTTTAATTCTTTAATCGAAATAGTACTATTCTTCAATTGATTTTTGATTTGGTTCCATACATCGTATATATCGGTTCCGTTTCTTATGCTCTGGTGCCGTAGAATTCCATAAATTTGTTTCATTTTGATACAAATTTAAAAAATCAAAAATAACTTCGTTTGTCCATTCCATTTTTTAGCAAAAAACTGCAAAACAACTTTGACAACACTACAGACAACTACTCGTGTAAGCGAATGAAAAACTTCTGACTTGCACTTGTCGTCTGTTAAAACACAGACGCGCTAGGATCGCGTCGCACGAGCATGTACCGCACCTTTGATGTTACCGACTCTAGATGGATAGGACGGACCAGCACAGACGTGCCTGCGCTACCACGGACGAGACCCTTCCCACGGTGCGTGGTGCGTGCTGGTCCGCTTACGTCCGTAATATCGCCGACCGTAAGAAGCCGCTAGTAGGTGGAAAATACTTTACCTAGCATTTATATCACTCGAGCACTAAAAGCATAAAAAATGTTAAAAAGTTGCATTGATGGAAAAAATTTTAAAGGAACATCTTTTTTTTATTTTAATTTGAATTTTTTTATCTTTAAAGTTTTTATGTACTTATGTATTTGTTTGCACTTCATTTGATGAATTTAATAATATTATCGAAAACTACAGTTCCATTTTTGAAATTCAAAAAATAAACAGTCTCAATAAGTACCACAATTTTGAAGTGGTAGATAAATAAAAAATAATAATTTTTAAATTTTGCTAAATTTATTTCAGGTGTCAAAATGGCCAGCAACACACTAATTCTTCTAGTCATCGTCAGTCTTTTCAGCCAATCGCTACAAGATGTACATAATAACGAAATAGATGTAGACGAGCCAAATTTGTATAAAGAGGCTGCTTCGGATATAAAAAGGGAACAAAATCAAGTAAACATTGGGGGTTTAATGAAGAATATCATGGACAACGGAGGAAATGATCTGTTGGGGACTATCATGTCAGAGATAGGGAAAGAAGGTGGTGGAGATATTCTAGAGGGATTGGGTTCTATGCTGACGGGAGACAAACAAGGAGGAAAGAAGCCAGGTAAAATGATATTTTTTTATGTGTTATTTAAACTATTTCTGCATTTCAGAGTTTATTTAATAAAAGGAACTTTTTTGTTTTTGAATTGGAAAAAAAAATTATTCGAGTGGTCTATTTGCATGCAATATCTGAAAAAACTATACTTCTTTATATTGATGATCTTTTTCCTGTAGATACCTGTAGTTACACAATACCTATTCATTTATATGATATTGTTAGCCTGCATTTTTAGGATACTGGTCTCTATCAATAAAACAATATATTATTCAATAGGTTGAAACTAATCAGTAAATGTACGTTAAAATTAGCAAAACATATTTGTAATTAAGAAATAAATGTGTATAAACGTATATAGATTACCTGTGTGAACCTCGAAACAGCACGTAAAACAACTGAATTTATTGCATTTAATCCATCTGAAACGAGAAAAAAAGGGAGTTTTAGTATGAATTTTTTGCGTGACATTCTTCACCGTCTTCTTTTGGTCGTTCCTCTAGATCAGTGGTCGCCAACCTCTTCAATGTGTTGAGCTACTTTGTTAAATTTGGAATAAACAGCGAGCTACCCACACGGAAGCCACGTAACGCAACGTAAATGAAATAATCCACAGTTAATCTATCATTATAGTATGTATTTATTTTACTGTTTAACTGGTAATACATAATACATAGATACTAATAATAAACTAATAACAAAATAGCTAATATTACTAGTACGTACTTGTTCATAGCTACATTCCTACCTATCAAACGAAGGTATTTGAAAAATAAACACAAACTTTGATCCAGCCACAACGGCATGTCACATATTATTTAAAAATAGTTAATAATAACAACAAAAAAGTAACGCACTATCATAAACATAAACCTTGAAAAATTAAAAAGCACGTTCAATGAGAAGGCTGACACTCAGACTCATCGATAATTTTTTTAATGTTTGCAGTATAATTTGATGCAGCCATTCGAATACAATAATTATCCAAATGTTCATCTGTAAGTCGATTACGATATTTGTTCTTAATAAACTTCATATTGGAAAAAGAAGATTCACACAAATAGGTTGAACTGAATAATGCTTTCACTTTCAAGGCAACACGGCATAGAACTGAATATTTGTCTTTACTTACAATAGGCTAAATACATTCAGTACTTTAGACTAACCATTTTAAGGCTAAATCATTTTGAAACTCAATGACTTCCATTTCTGTTGCAGCGATGTCTTCGCCAAAGTTCTGCATAACACAAGCTGCAAACTGCTGGATATCAATTTCCATAAAGGGTGAAACAACAAACTGCGCTACTAAAGCCATTTCATTCAAATCCTTAACACGATTTTTGAAGTTACTCTTTAGTGTAGAAATTATTTCTACATGATATTTGTTGTCATATGGTTCTAATGGATTTTGGGATATTTTTTCTGAAAGAATAGGAAAATGCTTGGAATCGCTATTAATTAGGTTTTGTTCCCAAAACTCCAGCTTTTTGATAAATGCTTTTATATCAGAAATCATTTCCGCTAGTTCTTTGTCTCTCCCCTGAAGCTGCAAATTAAGTTCGTTTAATTTCTCTGTAATGTCTATGTCTCTGTAATAAATAGTTATTGTCTTTTTTGGTCCTGAATGTTGTCTGCTAAATCTTTTTCTATACTAAATATGTGTGAATTTTAAAATTAGTTATATTTGAAGATGCGTGTCACCAAAAGTAAGTTCGCACGTCATCACTGACACACGTGTCATACATAGGTTTGCCATCACTGGTCTAGACCAGTGGTTCTTAAACTTTAAATATTTCGAGGCACGATTTGGAACCCTTGAAGAGTTTTGGGAAACGACAAAACTGAAAAAAATACAATTCCGAGGCTTATTTGATTTCAACGTAAACTTTATTTCAGATCAACAAATTACAGTACATTTGATATTCAAATATCATTACTTAATGTGATTAATTAAACTGTTTCGATGATGTTTTCATTACATCCTTTATAATTATGAGAATCTTTGTAAGTTTGACCCTCAAATCCCTTGATGCTTGGAGTTTGGTTCTGTCAATTACTAGCTCATAGGGTAATATTAAGTGCAGTGGTCGAAATATCGACCACAGACCTGTACCTGAACCTGTAGGATTTGATATTATAGTTGGTATACTTATTATTGTACAGAAGAACAAAACAAAAGAAATATAATTAGAGTTAAAGACCTATTTATTCATATAATAATTTGTACATATTTTAATTGACATTTATTTTTATTGTGTTCAACTAACTATGTTTAATATTGTTTTTGTTTTTAGTCCTTGCATAGCCCACTTTTCATAATGACATTGTTGTTTATTACTAACTAATTAACCTTTGAAAAATAGTTTCTACTACACTAAAACGATCTGAAATAAGACAAATTTGGTTCTATAATTGTATATATTTTAGTTCTATTTTATGTAAATATATTTATTTATAACTGTACAGTACGATAGTATCTTAACAACAACTGTAGCTAATATCATCGCTACTTTAGTAGATTTAGTAAGTTATTATGTACTAGAGTATTCTGGAATTAGCGCGTCGATCTCCATCCCGGTCGATACATTCGGAAAGTTTCCGGACACAGATCATCGTCGCCTCGAGATGAAACCGTTATATAGGTATAGGATACGTCGAAATAAGCACGTTCGGTACACTGCTCCCCTCTAAAACTCATATGTAGGCCCAGGATAGCGGAATATACAGGACTCTCCAGCTCTGCATTAACCCCTTAGAAAGAAATAACAGTCTACTATCTTTGAAGGACATGACATCTTCGGGTTAATACAACACACAGTAATTCGTACGTCGGGTTCTCAGAAGATCACTTCAAGCATGCTTCTGACAACCTTCCAATCCAGATTTTCTAGTGCATGGCCTATCTTGGGTAAGGCCAAATTCTTGATGTCCTCGTAGCTTGCCCTGTCTGTATACGACTTCATCATCATCATCATCATTGGCTTTTACAACTCTTCGTGAGTTTTTGCCGCGTTTACTATTGCCTTCCATTGATTCCGATCCTGTGCTATTATTTCCCATGGCCTTACTTCCATCTTCTCCAGGTCTTCCCTGACTGCGTCTTTCCACCTTTTTCTAGGCCTTCCTGTCGATCTTTTACCATCTGGTCTTTCCCAAAACACATTGCTAATCAGTCTGTCTGTATACCACTTCCTGTTCACCATTAACCGAAAACATCGAAAACCATCTTCTAATCTCCATCTGCTGATTTGTTACCCTGGTCATCTTTGATCTCATGTTGAAGGGTTCGTGCTTCTGTTTCATTTGAGCCAGCATAAGGCGCAAGACGATTTTATGTGAACTACTTTTGGTTTATCTTTCGACAACGTCTTAATTCGGTATATTACGTCATTTATAGAACCGTTTTCGAAACTTTTACAGAGTCTTCGTAATACCAAAGTGTCCACCTGATGCACCGTCATTCAATTGACGCAATAGTTCTGACGCTTTACTTCTAGAAAGAATCAACTAAAGCTTAGATTCTGTACCATCATCGTTCTTAAAGGTTCTACACATAAGATCATCTTTTAGTACAGACTTGACTTCTGGACTACATGCACTAATGCCTTGCCAAGAACGTCTTTCACTTCGACGCATCCAGTCCAATACTCTTTTTATACATGAGTCATCTGCTTTGGTATCTTGTAGCTTTTGAGGCTGCTATTGATCATTAGTGACGGTGGTTTGTCTCACGGGACAAAGTCGTTCATCTAATTTAATACAGTTGTTACAATTTGCACTGCATTGCCGTTTTGACTGAGCATCAGCATTTGAATGACTTTTTCCAGCCCAGTGTTCTATCAATTCTAGCTTTCTGGCTGATGTATTATTTTCTTGCAATTGTGTATGCATCGTACGAATTTCTTTCCGTAGGATTTCCTCCAGATGTTTATCGGTGTGTTTGTCGCTCTCTAGGTTCGTACTCGATAGCTCCATGAAGCTTGACTAACGGTTTCGTGTTCCAAGGCAATGCCAAGCGCTTCGTCTAAAACTTTCGGTATTGCTAGTCGTAAAGCTTTCTGTAGTTTACCGTCTCTTAACCCACATTTTTCTTGACCCTTAGGAATCAATCTTAATATATCCGCAGCATCATCTCGTAAAGCATCAGTCAAGGAAACAGCCTTTTCTTATTCTGTCCAATGATTGGCTGTCGCAATAGCTTCAAATTGCCTAAGGTATATGGACCAAGAAGATGTGTCGTTTCGTCTCTAGGTGATTTTTCTTTCACTACAGGATCTAAAACTACTGCATGAACTGGTGATAGCAGTTTTGTATTTGTTATTATGGTCTCTAATTGTTTGATCTTCTCTTCTACGTCGTTTACATTTTTCTGTAACTTATCGAATGTTCTAGAAACTTCTTCGAATTACTCATCATTTTGTCCAGCTGCTACTTTACTAATTTTTAAACAAGTTTCTTCAATAATTTGCGAGACATTTTCAAATTTCTCGTCGATTCTTTTAGAAACATTTTTAAATTTATTATCATTTTTTCTAGTAGAAGTTTCTTTGATCATTTGAGAAACATTTTTAAATTTCTCATTCATTTTCGTTAAAACTGTTTCTTCTGTGATTGAAACTTTAATGTCTCTGGGTCATCTGTATTCTTATTGAGAACATTCTTTAGTCGTTCTTGGAGTATCTTCTTGGACTCACTGCAGTCTTCATCGCGTTCTTCTAGTTGCTCACTCAACTGTTTTACTGAAAGTTCTACAAGCTGCGTCTTTGATCAGACAGAAACGTACATTTTAAATGGTCTTTTTTTGCAACGAGCACTACCGAACTACGTGGATGTTTCCGACGAACAATACTTTTTAAAAGTTTAAAAGTCTTCTTCTAAAGTCACTGCTGTATTTATTTTTAAATCTCACACCGTGACACCAACTGTAGCGTTTTTAAATAAAACAAGCTGTTCTTATTTATGTAAATATATCTATTGATAAGTTTACAGTACGATAGTCTCTTAACAACTTTGGCTAATATAGCTACTTAAACAATACAAGTTATTATGTACTAGAGACGCAACCGTTATATGGGCTACGTCGCAATAAGCACTTTTGGTACAATATTTGATATATTCTACTTAATTTTGCGTGCAATATCCCTCAGAACCTGCGTATATTTTTCTGTAATCCACGTACTGTATAGGCAGTTTCTTTGATCGTTCTTTTAAAAAATTTTAATAAATAATTATTTACCAAGTCACCAACAGGTATTTAAGTGTTAATGCAATTTATATTAGAATAGTTTAACATGTTTTTTAGATTCCGGAACTCCGAATCTTTTAAAAGGTATTAGTAATATTGCAAAAATTGGAACTCTTCTAAGCACGTTAACAAAGAGTGGGGATAAAAATAAAGGTAAGAAAGGAACGAGCAGCGTTAAGGAGCTATTTTGGGTTTTACGTCAACTATTTTTATATTCGTTATGCATAAATGTGTATTGTTTATTTCGTTCGATTAAATGCTTTTCCTAAAAGGAAAGATGCCAAAATATAACAAAGAAAAAATCGACGCATATGAAAAATGCAGCAAAAAGATCAAAAAGTGGACAGAAGAAGAATAAAGGGGGCTAAGAAGAGCGGAGAAAAAAAGAGTAAATTTATGGAAAAAAATCTTCGAGAGCTAGCAGAATCTAAAAAAAAATGCCAAAGCAACGAGCTGATCAAGAGCAAGCAAGCAAGCAAGCAAATTAATTAAACCCAGCCTGTGAGAAATGTTCACCTCTAACAATTACGTTTGGGTGTAACAATTCATTGGAGCGAGGTGTATTAACTCGAGTAAAAACTGGAATCACTCCACCGCGATTCAATGCTCCAGACTATCCCTTTTCCCCTATAACACACTGAATCGCAATAGGGGCACAACTATTAGCCAAATGCTCTTCATTTGGAGGTTCTTTGTAATAGAACCCCAACATGGTTTCCTAACCGAATTCAAAACTCAGGACAGTGCATTGTCGCTATATTCCTGTTATCTTACTCTGGCTTATCCGCGAAATAAAACTGCTTACTTGGGCCTCAAGCCTCTGCTCTGAGCTAGGCTCAGTTCGGCGACTTGGTGCTCAAGGGTTGGGCCCTACGTGCCCGGGTTTTTGGGGTTTTTGTTAATATTTTTTTGTCGCTTGTGCCGGTTTTTGTTAGCAGTTTTTTGATTACAGTTAGAGATTCGTTTTTGGTGAGCTGACAAAGATCATTGTAGTAAAAGTGTAGAAATTTTTATTAAATGTGATTCTATAATGCTACAATTGGAAAAAAAAAGTCTATTCAGAAAGCTCTTTACGGTAAAATATTTTATGATATATTTTATCATAAAATATTTATGATATTTATGATATATCAATTTTAATTTTGTTTTGGTATTAAGATATTTTTTATAAATAAATATGAAAAAAACCTTAATGTAATAGGATAATAATTAACACTAACAAGGATCTAGAATCTATGCAGTGAAAAAAATATGTTTTAGTGCTTAGTTTTGTGAGTTTGTCCAAGCTTATTGTGTTTTGTCTCTTAAATAGCAAATTTGTGTATCTTCGTAGCTGGTGCTAGTTAGTCTTTTAATTGTCGGTAGTTTTTTGCGCCATTTTGTAAATATTATATCACCAATAAGTCGTAGAGTACTTCTATTGCTGTTTGTGGTTTCTTCTATTGGCTGTTAGTAGAAATTATCTTTTATCTTCGATAGAAGATCAAATCTATGGTCAATATCTTTGTATCTTTTTCTAGATTCGGATAGTCCAAACGTCTTAGAAAGCCTTGGTAGCATTGCAAGCCTTGTAGGTGCGCTAGACGGACTTAAAGATGGCGGTAAAGGTAAAGAAAATCAAGACGGTTCCCCCGATCTGCTAAAGAGCTTAGGAGCCATAGGATCCCTTTTAGGTTGGTATTTGAAGTCCTCATATTAGATCGAAAAAAAAAAAAATGTTTAACCCTTTGTTTTGTAAATATGTTAATCTAAAGACCTTCTAAGGTTTATATACTTAGTTTAACTTGGTTATCATGCACCAGTTAAAATTTTTTATTTATTTAGAATACTATTTTGTGTGTTTCTTTAAAACCTTTAGCTGCATTAGACTTAAGACATTTGAGCCTAAATAGACTAAGGCATTTAAAATATGGGTATATCGAAGAATGTTGCAAATAATTTGGACTGATGTTAAGTTAAATAAAATATAATGCGTCACACATCTCTAACTCTCCTTTCTACATGTATATCCTGATTTTATATCAAATACGAATACATTCAAGATAACTTGGCTGAAAATAATATTGTCACATTGGTATGGTCTCCAGAACTAGATCCAGGATTTTTTTTAAGTAACTTTTAGGCTCTAAATATAAAAATAACCGCAAGTTTTGTCTATCACGTTAAATTTTTTAAGATACAACGATTGTATCACTACAAATATAGAGAAATCAATGTGTTAGAGAGAGAAGCACCTTTTCGGTAGGTAATCTCTCTCTTTTGTCGTTTCCCCATTACTGAGAATCATAATTTCTTCCAATATTCCTAACAATTTTTCTTTATTGGTCTCTACCTTCAGCTGCTCTGAGAGTTTCGCAGAATGAGTTTCCAGATGAATTTTTAATTTAGTCGGACCATCTCGTTGGTGATCATCCCCTTGATCTTCTCTTAGGAACGTTTTCAAAAACAATTAATCTCTCCAAACTATCGTTACCTCTGCGAACCACGTGGCCGACAATTCCTATGAAATATCCAAGGTATGCGCCGCATTCTTCTTCAGCACCACATCTCAAAGGCATCAATATTTTGACGCTCGCGTCCATGGAGAGTCAAAGTCTTTACCTCGTATAGAAATATGAGAATACAAGGGCATTCACCAGTCTCATCTTGATATTTTGAAAGATAGATCTGTCTTTCCAAACTTTTAGGCGACTCATCGCAGTCCCACTGACTCATTGAGTTTTAGACCAACTGGCTCATTTGCTGCTGTATGTGTAGTATCATCAGCAAATCTTAAATTCGAGATTTTCCCATCCAATGGGCCCATATATTTTTTTAATTGCCGTATTGCCAGATTCCAGTAAGAGCCTAAGAAGGTATCCATTGAATTCTGACAGGCAACGGTGGGAAAAATCTTTTTTAGATATCTACGTCACGGAATAAGACGCCCTGGCATCTTTTGGCCGAGTAGGATACTAAGCCAGAAGACCACAGGGTAGTGCCGGATTATCGTGTTTCGGCTAAAACCTCAACCACCGTTCCAGAGAGGTGGTCTTTCTAATTAATAAACAACTAAAATAAAAAACTAAAAATTTATAAATAACCATACCTATTACCGTAAATCAGACAATGTTTTAGACGTTAGGCCACTAATAAATAATATTAATCACAAATTTCAGATCCTTGGCTCAATTTCCTCCTATGTCAATCTGCACCTTTTTCTTCATCACCCCAGAAATCAGACAGTGTACTTCTCTCCATTATATCTCTCCTCTCAACATTATGTTTACTTTGTTTCTTTCATACAGCCCAAAAAAAAACCCATTCGCCTCTCGAAATCTCCCCTCTCATTCGCCCATCTCTGGCTGTTAAAAATGTGGACGAGAGCGTCCACTACCCCACAAACAGTACAGTCTACCGAGGCAGATTTGCCTATTCTATTTATGAAGGTGCCAAAACTACCATGTCCGGTCAGAAACTACGTCAGGAAGTAGTCTAGTTTCCTGAACTTACATTCTCACCACAGACTCAGATCAGAAATAAGCTCCTTCATCCATCTTGCTTTTCCACTATCATTCGCCTATTCTTTCTGCCACTCTATCACCTTTCTTTCTCTCCATTCTCATCTATATTTACATCCATCCTCCTCGCATACATCCTTGCTCGCTCTTTGCACAACAAAACAATCGGTATCACCGCTCTATTGACATATAGAGCCTCATTTAAAACTGTCCTATATGCGCTAGATACTCTGAGGAGCATTCGTTTTTGCGAAGTCTTTTTTAGATCTTCTTATCTGATTCCTGTATTCATTGTGCATTTGCTTTAATTCATTTAGTCTTCTTCAAGCGCTTGACCTGTTGTTTCCCTGCTACTTCTAGGATGAGGTTTCCACCCCTGTTGTTCTTAGCGCTTTTGACACCAATCCTCTTTTTCTCCGTGTCTATGCTACCCTTTATTTGTTCCAGTAACTCGGCGTAAGATTTTCCGCCTCCCTTCACGATCACCTTCTGCGTCCCTGCCCTATTTTCTTCTTGTTCATACTCCTACCGCACGAGGTGAAGGTCCATACCTCTAAAGGTGACTTCAAGGAGCTTCAGAGGTAGCAACCTCTGAAGCTCCCACTACTTTTGGGGATGCCTCTCTGGTCCTTACAATCTCTATATCTTCTCTCAATTTAGACCGAATTATGACTTCCTGGTGTTATAATATTAAGTGGTTATAGTATTAAGTTGGAATTATTCCATTTGTCCTGATCTATATGTATCTTCATTGCATATTCTCAGTCCCAGTTTTTCTTTATCAGGTCGTGGAAACTTTCCCCCTCACCGAAAAGTCCAGGTTCCATAACCACTACCAAGTCGTCTGCTGCTTTATTTCCTCTTCCTGATTTGGTAAGCGTATCTTCTTTTCATTCATTTTATAGGATTTTCTTTATTTTTTTGAAGCCTCTTTCCCCTGAATTTAAGACCTTTGTGATCATTTCTATCTCTCTTTCCCTAATTTTTCGGGGGAGAACTCTTTAAAGTCCACCTGTGTGAACACACTTGCAGTCTCCTTCATCGTAACCTCATCACCGGTTTTTTACTAGCTTTTTTCCTTTCTCAACGCTACCGAGCGGGACTTGTCTGAAAGTGCCCTCCATGTCTTCTGTGAGTCTCTTTTTTTTTCTCTTTTTTTTATTTCATTTTTAATTACAACCTTCGTATTTGTATAGTCGGACATTAGTTTCAATAAATTCTTTGTAACGCTGGTAAGTTTCTCAATTGCTCTTACCATAGGCGTTATGTTAAAGCTCTCCTCCTCCTTCACAGGTCTTTTCTCTTCAAGTGAGAAGCTCCTTTGCAACGTTGCCTCCCTTGGAAGATCGTTCTTGTTCAGGTCCCGACCCCTGACTGGAAAACTAACAAATCCTCTTTTTCTGAAGATCATAATCTCCTTCCTCTTTTCCTCTTTACTGAGGACTTTCTGTACATTCTCTTCACTGCTTTTGTAGACCATATCATCGCATTCACAACTTGTTTCGATTTTTTCCATAGTTTCTTTGTTTTATTTGTTTTTTTTTGCCTGATTAAGTACTTGTCCATATCATTCCCACGAATAGGTTCCGATCATTACTGATCGGACTAAGTACGGATCACCTGACACTGTGTGTCACCGTGTAGTTGCGGATTTTTATCGAGGTTTACTTATTATTTATCGTTTGTTTCATATCTAGTTTTATGTTTTTTTTTCTGCGTTGAATCACAGTCCACGAACTATTGGATATCCACGGCTTACGGCCAGTGGAAACCGCTGTCTCATAGTCTTTTGCAGCCTCGATTATCTTGTCTTTGAGATATATTCAATTGCTATCAGGGTCACTATCTATTTGGTCTAAAGAAAGAGCTTTCTAGGTTTTCTTGGAAGTCATTGATTTTTAATGGATTTAGAGACATGACTGTTCTTAGGGGTCTTCTTTTGGATACTTTATAACAAAGACGTTCAATACCAAAAGTTGATGATCGCTTCCACAGTCTGCGCCAGGATATGTGTTACAGTTGGACGACGACTTCAATCTTGATCTTATTAGGAAGTAGTCTTAATGCAGATACTTTACGCAATATGTCTTTGGCAATCAATTATTTCTTACTCTATTTTATACATGTCTATCGGTGTCTTTTTATAATCAGTTTTCTACGAGTCTCACAATTTTTCAACCAACAATATCGATAGCGAAGAACCTTAGCAAAACTCAAAATTTGACTATAATTAATCCTAAGTAATTAAGTATAAGTCCCTGACCAAATTAACTATTCTATTTAAAAACAAAAATGACTTTATAACACAGCTCAAGGCCAAGGTAACAAGGAAAGCGGTGCTGGAGCTCTTCTACAAGGACTGGGATCGCTACTCGGTCAAACCAACAATCAAGGCCAAGGTCGTGGTCAAGGTGGAGATGGTGCTGCAGCTATTTTGCAAGGACTCGGATCGCTACTTGGCCAAGCGAACGAACAAGGTCAAGGTGGAGATGGTGCTTCAGCTCTTCTACAAGGGCTAGGATCGCTACTTGGCCAAGCCAACGAGCAAGGTCAAGGCCGAGCTCAAGGTGGAGATGGTGCTGCAGCTATATTAAATGGTTTGGGGTCTCTCTTAAATCAAGGAGGCGGAGATGGACAAAAGTTAGATCTTGGATCAATGCTAAACTTTTTTGCTTCTGAGGACGATGAGAAGCCTAAGAAGAAATCAGTAGGTAATGTGTATAAGAAACTTATAAGCATGCAAATGGAATAAAGATGGTTTTTTCTTTGATAGCTTTTCTTTTATGTCACTTGATTATTTTATTGCTCATATTTTTCTTACTATTTAGCTTTGTGTTTGTTATTTTACTTATGTCTGCTCTTCCATGTGTATCCCTTTTTATATCCACCAATTTTATTATGTTTTTATTGTAACGTTTTATATTTCTTCTTTAAGCTAAATACTAAGAGTTTAATTACGTATTAAATGTATCTGCATGACTTTTTCTAAATAGTGAAAAATATAAGTTTGTTTGTTTGATCAATTTAACTAATTTTTTTTACAGGTTCTAAAAAAGTACGAAAAGGAGACCCTAAAGCCGAACCTGACTTTAACCTAAACGACATATTATCATTAGCTGGTAGTTTTCTTGGACAGTCTGGCCAAAAAGATGGAAAGAAAGGCGGAAGCAACTTTTTATCTCTCCTACCAACAATTCTACAGACTATGAACGCCTTTGTAGGTCCTGAAGCGAGGAGCAGAGAAAAAAGTCACGCAGGACACGCTTCGTTAATGCCTCCATTCTTAGAAAAACTACACGTTCTGTTTGATCATTTTATCCATTCTGAAATGGGAAAGAGTACTATAGCTGCTCTTGGTGCAGAGAAGTCTTTTAAAGTGTTTTTGGATGACAAAGGACGGTTTAGCTATAAGAAGTTTGGTGAGCTGATGGAGAATCACTCTTACAGGAGACAGTGGATTCGAATTTTAACCGATAGAATAGCAGAATTTTTGCAATATGCTTCTGATCCAAGCGTTTATAAATCGTAAGTAAAATTTTTTGTGTTCATTGTAAAAATATGATGTTCTTAATCCTTCTGTACGACTCTATTTTAAATAATTTCTTCTATCTTACTTTATAATTTAAGTAAAATAGCTTTTTGCTATTTTAAGCTTGACTGTTTATCGGAATATTTATATAAATATCAAATCATCATCAATCAGCCAATCGCGTTCACCGCTGGACATAGGCCTCCCTCAATTCTTTCCAGTGTTCTCTACACCGGGCCGTTTGTAGCCAGTTCCCGCTACACGTTTTATATCATCGGTTCATCTAGTCGGTGGTCGTCCTCGGCTTCTTTTATAGTTTCTGGGCCTCCATTCCATAATACGTCTTGTCGTGGTTCTTTCGATGACGTCTTGAACTCCTAATCTTTGCTTAATTTGTTGGTTTGTTATGTGGTCTCGAAGGCTCACGTTCAGCATTGCACGTTCCATGTCTCGTTGTGTAACTCTGAGTTTATTCGCAGATTTTTGCGTGAGTGTTAAGGTCTCTGCTCCATAAGTTTGTACAGGTAAAACACATTGGTTATAAACCTTTCGCTTGAGACACATGGAAATTGAACTTTTTTGGAATATGGCTTAATTTGCCAAATGCTGCCCAAGTTAGGCCTATTCGCCTCTGTATTTCATGTCTTTGATTGTCTCTGCTTATTTTGATTTCGTGTCCCAGATATTTGTAAGTGTCTGTTTGTTGTATGGTATTATTGTCAATAGTTATATTTCCACTCATTACGAGATTTGTTATAAGTTTAGTTTTCTCAAAGTTTATCTTTAATCCTGCTCTTTCAGACAGACTTTTAATCGAATGCATTAGAGAAACTGTATCTTGTAAATTGTAAATTGCAAATTTACAAATATCAAATACTATACGAAAATTAACACACGTTTAGAGTTGGCAAATCAATACTTACAGCCTTTTTCTGTCTGTCTGTAAACGAAACTGTTCCATTAATATTAGAAACCAAATTAAAGAGAGAATATTCGACTAAGGACGATATGGCAAAACACAAGGCAGCAGTTAGATAAAATATACTACAATGAATCCACAAGACAGCTAAACAATACTTCTACTACTACCAAATAATTTAAAATTATCTTCTAAATTTAACACCAACAGCTGATACCTATTATTTACTTTGAAAAACTCCCTGGAAATTAAAACAATCCAGTAAACACATCCCTGCATTAATAAATTATATAACTTATATAACTTAGATAAACATAGGCGAAAACAGATCAAGAAAAAGAATACATTTGGAAAAAGTTTTTTAACCTGCACCCTCTGTCAATGTTGAAGAAAATTAAGCTATTTACGAAAGCTTAGTAACAGTCGAATAGCCAGGTGAGCAAATTAAACCACTACCGGCACTACCAAAAGGAGAAAAAAGTGGAATTAAATATATACGTTAAAAACCAAAAAAAGCTCTAGACTATGATCTTGTAACAGAAACTATCTTAAAAGAATTACCTGGTAAAGGAATATTTATGACAACAAAATTTTTCAATGCCTCACGAAGGCTCAAAATTGTATAAACTTAATGGAAAACTGCTGATATAATAATGCTCCATAGACGTAGTAAATCGTCTCATGAAAATACCTCTTAATTTCCTTAGTCTCTTACCCGTAAGTGATAACCTATTTGAGAAGCCAATAGCGACAAAACTTATGAAGATAACTAATAATAATCTTTTCCCGGATCATCAGTTCGGTTTCAGAAAAAGCATTCAACAATAGAATAAGTACCGGGTGGACCAATAAGCCGAACTCTCGGCTATATATCAGAAACTATTCATGTTATAACTGTAGGAGAAAAAATTCCTTAGTAAAAGTGGTCAAGAGAAATCGCTGGAAATAACTTTCAAGTTTCTGGGTTAACCGCTAGGGGCCGTAACCTGCGAAGAAAAATTTTAAAACCAGTTTTTTGTGAAATATGCCCAATTATACCAAGTGTTAAATAAGTAAACTAGAAAAAGACCTAAATTCCGCACAAGTTATTGAAGTACTTTTTTTATGTTTTCAAATAAAGGGTATGGGGGAGTGGGAAAGTATTTGTGGATAAACACGTAATTCCACAAATAACTTTGTTTTGGATCAACCGATTTTACCGAAATTAGTGTCATTAGAAAGAGTGTGGATGATTTAATTTACATCTACTATAAAATAATTGCATTTGGTTTTAATTGTCATGGGTAGAGGGTACTTCCGAATAGAACAAATTAAATTGTTTTTCTTTAAAATGTTTAATAGAAACACCTATTTATTGTAAATTATAATGAAACTGGATTAAATTCGTAACAAATGGCGCAAACCGCATGTTGATAATTTTTGTCGAATTCGAGATATGAATAAAAATGCATAAACATAAGTAAGTATAGATTGACTCATTCTTTGTTATAACTTAAAATTAAATAAGTGAAAGATCATACAAATATCTCGATCACTAAAACTTAATGTAAAATTAAATGTTCAAATTGTTTTCCATCTTTGTCCACAAAAAGATGTAATCTTCCGCGCGTAGATTTAACAGCTGCTTCAATCTCAGCTGTTGACATATTATTTATTGCGTTTATAATGCGCTGTTTCATGTCGTCTCGCGTGGTTGGTTGTATTATTTGTAAATTTGTATGTTGTGATTATTTTGTAAAACGTGGTTTTAGACGGAGCGACGCATATTAAACCCAAACCACGGAGAGGCTAATGCCAGACTTGGTTGGCGTGGATAGAGTTGTGCTAGCAACACAGTTTCGTGGGTCGTGGTTCTCTACCTAACCTTAGTTATGATGTCATTTTCTGTACTGAACGAAAAGTTCCCAAATGGAAAAAAACTAAAATCGGTAGAATTCTTTTTTTTTTAAATCTGTAGATTGTGGAGTAAAATCTGTAGATCTTAAATTTCCTATTGTTTTGCAATTCGTTTATTTAAGAAAAAATAAAATATGTTTTAAAAACGTGTAAAAAAAACTGACTGAAATTTAAATCCTTAAATGAGTCTGTGACTAGGAATCGAATACTTATCCGAGAACCGAAACCTCGAGTATAAAAACCTTTTACAAGGAAATATTATACAACAAACAGACTACCGAGTTTTTAGAGTTTTTACGTGAGGAGTTTATATTAATTATGCGTTGTTCCGGTTTTTAGTTTCCTAACTTGACAAATTCCCAGAACCAAGCGGTCGGGATCACAATGGATTTGGATTCATTTATTATTGTATTATTAGCTTTTATGAGATCATGTACTTTGTAAAGTACCGCTTAGGTACCATTTAAGAATAAATACTGCGAACACTGCCAAAAATACAAATATTTGTCATGGGCGTGGGCTGTGTTCAATATGCGTTATTATTGAAAAACGTGTACTTGGACTAGGTTGGACCATACGTGGGCTGCGCGTGGGATGTGCATGGGCTGTGGTCAATTTGCGGCGGGCCTATGTCCTTCAATCTTCCCCACAGATAAAAGTCCAGATATGTTAAGTCTGGAGAATCTAGCTGGCCATGAAAATATACTTGGATAACTTGCTTACAAATAATCTCGAACTCGTCTGGAAAAGTGCGCAGGACACCCATCATGTTGTAATATCATATCCCTTCTTGTTTGTAAGTAAATATTTTCCAATAAAACAGGCAACTGATTTTCCAGAAAATTCAAATATGATTGGTCATTTAAAATTCTATCAAAGAAATATGAACCTACGATCTTTCCATCAACTATACCTCAACAAACATTAAGACTCCATCTACCTTGAACCTGTACCTCATGTATCCAGTGCTGACTTTCTTCAGCCTAATAATGCATATTATGCAGACTAACACCACCCGCACTATTAAACGTAGCCTCGTCTGTTAAAAAAATCTTTGAAATGATATGCGGTTGTTTTTCTAGCAGACCTAACATTCACTTGCAGTAATCCAGCCTTGCATCAAAATCTCTCTCATTTAAATCTTGGTGGAGAACTACATGATAAGGATGCAGTCTAAAAAACAGAATAACAAATATTGGTGACAAACAAACCACTATATTTACTAAAGCTCAAAAAATCTTCAATTGTTTCACAAGATAAGTTGTGCAGAAGTATTTTTAAGAAACGGGTAAAAGGATAAAAGCGCCGTGTTGCCGTTTTTATCGGAATATTAAAATAACAATTGAATCTAAAGTTTAAAGGGAATTCCAAGTTTTTGACCTAAACGTTCACTTTATAATATGAAAAACCAACCTGTGAAGTTTTAAAATCCTTAGAACAGTAGTTTTGGGTATGTTTAATTCTATAGAGATGTGCCGACTACTTATATGTGGATTCTGTTGAATTAAAGCAAGAACATTGATCGAATTATCTTCGGTCATACCTCTACTACGTCGTTTAAAACAAGGACAATGAAAACTGCCAGTTTCTCTTAATCTTCTTGCCTTTCTTTCAAATACTTCTTTGCCATAATATCTCCTGTCAGGATATCTTACAGAATATACACGTGAGGCAATAGCGGCATTTTGGTGACATTCGAAATAAACTCCAATCATATTATACATTTCTGCATCTGATATTCTCACCACGAATTATTAGTACTCATAATTAATTACTAATATTACCAGTATTATATCTATTGAAAAAAGTGCAATCTTCAATTCGAATTATAATATAACACTTCTTAACAATGTTTTGACTGCTGTCAATAAATAAACAATATAACCTCCCCGTCAAATTCATTGTTGTAGCCTACTTAGTTTCGAAAAAACTATTTGTATTCATATGAAATAACAATGGTCAAAATAGGTATCAACATTAAGATTCTTCTGCTATAAAAAAGTCAGAAAGTGCTTGTGACTTAATTTTTAATTTAATTTAAAATACACGAATTAAAAAATACGAACAAATATACATTTAACATTTAGTTTTTGGCTTTTTACGCAAAGAATTTCTCAATACAAGTATCTCCAATTTCACCTGTTTAGTTAAGTAATAAGTATTTATGATAATTTGTAACAA